AGTAGAATGTATATTCTATGGTTGCTGGGTGGAGTGTTCTGTAGGTAGCTATTAAGTCCATTTGGTCAAGCATCAAGTTGAGATTCTGGATCTCTTTCTTGATTTTTTGTCTCGATGATCTATCTAGGGTTGTTAGTGGGGTATTTAAGTATTTACTTTTTAAGTATCCACTTTTATAATAATGTTATAATAAATTTTTTTAGTTTATTTGAGTTTATAAAAGCTGGTGCTCTTGCTTTGGGTGCACATATGTTTAGGATGGATATTTCTTGTTGATGGATTGAATCTCTTATCATTATATAGTGTCCTTCCTTATCTTTTCAAATTTTTGATAGCTTAAAGGTTGTTTTGTCTGATATTAAGATCGTGACTCCAGTCTTCTTTTGTAATTCATTTGCCTGGAAGCTTGTTTTTTATACTGTAACTTTGAGTCTATGTGCATTCCTTGTGATGAGATAATTTTCCCGAATGCAGCAAATTATTGGGTCATGTTTTTTTAAATCCAGTTTGCCATTTTGTGTCTTTTCAGTGGTGCATTTAGTCCATTCACATTCAGGCTGATTGTTGAAATGTGAGTATTTATCCCCATCATGAGGTACTTATAAAGTTTTTTCTTTGTTTGTTTCCTTTTAACTTTTGGGTTGATGTATGTGTGTGTTTTCAAGTTTGCAGTCATGATGTATTCTCTATACATTCTGTTTTCTCCTGTTCTCTTGGGAAGTGCATGGTTATTCTTTTCTTTCTTTCTTTTCTTTTTCTTTCTTCTGTGCTTATTACCTTTACAATCATCTTCTGTAGACCTGGTCTGGAAGCTACATAATTTCTTAGGGATTGGATGTCTGGAAAGGACTTTAATTTCCCATCACTGATGAAGCTGAGCTTGACTGGGTAAGAAATTCTTGGTTGCAATTGTTTATCTTTGAGGACTTTGAAAATTGGATTCCAGTCCCTTTTAGTTTGTAGTGTTTCTGCCTATAGGTTTGCTACTATTCTGATTGGTCTTCCCCAGTAGGTAGTCTGACTTTCTCTCTCGCAGTGATTAGGATTTTTCTTTTGTATCTACTTTGTGTAGGCAAATTACTATGTGTCTAGGAATTGGTCTTCTCACTTGATGTCTTGCAAGAGTACTCTGTATCTCTTGTGATTGGATGGCCACATCTCTGGTGAGATGAGGAAAGTTTTCTTGGATGAACTCCTGGAATACTTGTTCCAAGGTGTTTACCATTTTCTTTTATTCTTCTGGGATACCAGTCAGGCATAGGTTAGGCTACTTGATGTAATCACACATCTCTTAGAGTCTTTGTTCTTTCTTTCTGACTTTTCTTTCTATGTTTTTTACAGATCAGGTTTATTCCATGTTTTGGTCTTCAATTTATAGGATTCTTTCTTCTGCTTGATTAATTCTGCTTTCCATGCTTGTCATCTTATTATTTCCTGGATGCAGTTTTTTTATGGCCAAAATATCTGTTTCAAGTTCTTTCAGTGTTTCATCTTGTCCTTCTTGATTCTTATTCACTTTTCCCTCCATTCCTTAATCCCTGTTGTATTCTGGGATTGGTGACTTCCATTGGTGGGCTCTGAGTTCTGATTTTTCAGGCATTTTCTTTTTGGTACAATGCATTCTTCCATTGATTTTTCCTCTTTGGTGATAGTTGTCTTTCTTTTCTCTTTATTTACATTATTCAGTGGCAATGGGAGGGATTTTCACTTCTGATATTTTCTGGTCCTCTTTTCTTTTCTGATCAAGGCTCTGAATTTGTTCTCTTTTGAAACAGCACTGAAGGTGGGAAGCTTTGTTGTCTGTTGTAGTTATGAGGATCGAATCAGGTAAAGAATGGGGAACTAGAATTCAGAAACTACTTGCAAATCACAAGGTCTCTGACTAGGGTATGGGTTCCCTGAGACCCACTCCCCACCACCACTCTGTATGATGATACAATGGGTATGTGTGTGTACCCCTGAGTCCAAGATAAAGTAACAGCAATGAGGAGAACAAAGAAAAGTAGAATGAAATTGGATGGACAAGACCAAACCAAAAACAAAACACACAGAAAAACAAAAGCAGAAACTAAAGCAAAAAACAATTAGACACACTCACACACAAACACACAAACTGGAAACAAAACAAAACAAAACAAGAAAACTGAACACACACACACAGACACACCCAACACAAAATGAATAGAGAAGGAAAAAGACAAGAGGAAAGAACTAGGGAAATGCAAATCAAACCCTCGCACATATATTCAAACACACGTTAAACTAAAAAAAGTGAGGAACAAATTCCCCTATTGGGAATATACCCAGAACTCAAATCTTTCTGCAAAAAATATACATGCACATGTATGTTCATTGCAGCTCTATTCACAATAGCAAAAACATGGAACCAACTATTGCTACCCTTCAAAGTTGGACTGGATTAAAAAAATGCAGTACCTATACACAATGGAATATTATGTGACCATAAAGAAGGACAAACATATGGACTTCGCAGCAACTTGGATGGATTTAGAGTGCATCATACTCAGTGATCTATGACAGAAACAAAGAACAGAGTACCATATGTTCTCACTCATAAGCGGACCTTTAACAATTATCACAATACTATAAGAAAGGGATTGGCAGTAGTGGGAAACTTCCAGGGGAAGGGGGTGGTGAGATTGGCAGTTGAGGGAAACTGCCAAGGGAGAGAGGGGCACATCTCATTTACAAGGGTACTTGCATGATGAACATTTGTATACCCAACCCTGAATGTACCCCACATCTTTAAAATTAAAAATATATATATATTTTAGGCCGGTCTTGGTGGCTCAGCCTGTAATCCCAGTACTTTGGGAGACTGAGGCAAGTGGAATGCCTGAGCCCATGGGTTAGAGATTAGCCTGGACAACTTAGCGAGACCTCCTGTCTACAATAAATCAAAAAGTATCTGGGTGAAGTAGCGTGCTCCTGTAGTTCTGGCTACCTGGAAGGCAGAGGCAGAAGGATCACCAAAGCCCAGCAGGTCGATGCTGGAGTGGCTGTGAGCATGCCACTGCATTCCGACCTGGGCGACAGAATGAGATTCCAACTTAAAAAAATTTTTTTTAAAAATAATAATGTTGCAATATCTAAACAAAATTAAATAAAAAGTAAATCAATAATTAAAAATAAAATAAAAAGTAAAAAAAATAACAAAGAAAAAACTGAAAGATGAACACTCAATCATTCAATTACACACTTAAATGAAAAACAAAAAACAAAAGAAGACTGAACAAAAAGATGAAAGAAAAAAAAAAACGGAGGAAACATAAATCGAACCCTCACATACACATTCACACACAAGGACAAAAGAAGAATCAATCAATAAATGAATAAATAAAACCTGCCCTCTCATGGCAGGTTCTGTAGTTGTTCCTTTCAGCTGCTCACCGGTAAGCCCCTCTGATATCTCCTGTGGAGCTGTAGCCACATTTACAATCTCCCCAGAGGTGCAGCTCAAGAATGGAGGAAGGGATGGTGGAGTAGGTGGGGCTCAGTCCCCCAATTCTGGTATGGTCCAGGGGATTCCCTCTGATGGGGAGGTGCGGAATTGTCTCCTCCCCCCCCCCCCCCCCCCCCGCGCTGGTGGGAGGAGGATGGGGGGACCCCAGTCAGGCTTATGCTGGAGTAGAGTCCTCCTATCACCGCTGACATCCAGGCTCTGCCTGGGTTTGTCCCTCTCAGCTGTGCCCCAGCCATGTGGGTCCGATGTTCAGAGGATTGCTTGGGAAGAAGGGGTTGGGTCAGCCCCTGACTCACCGCTATCTCTACTGGAGACTTCTTTGCCCTTTCTGGTCATACTCTTTGTCCCACAGCTGAATCGGGGTAGGAGGTAGGCAGCCTGAGACACAGCACTGTCCTGTCCTTCCAAAGTTTGGGCTTTTGGGATATTCTGTCTGGATCGCTATCTACCCTGAGTACTTAAGCCACCGGTCAAGGAGATCGAGTCTGTCCCTCCATGGTGAGCAAGCCAGAGCGCTTCCCTGCCCGGGTTTGCTTATTTATCTATCTATCTATTTATTTATTTGTTTATTTATTTATTTATTTATTTATTTATTTATATTTTAAAGATGTGGGGTACAATTCAGGGTTAGGTATACAAATGGTCATTGTACAGGTAAAATTTGGACCTCACTTTGGTCCTTACTTCACCTGGTTTGAGATCACGTGCTGAAAAGAAAAAGTAAATAGCCTTGCCCAGTTTTCAAGATGGTGGCAGGGTGCCTCTTTTGTCTTCTCCAGTGGGGCTCTGCCTCCGACTCCCTCACTGTGCTCCCTCTGTGGCCCTTGCCGCCAGTGTTTGGCCAGGTGCTGCAGTGGTGAGGCAATTATTTCCAGCAGCTTCTTCCCAGGAGGGCTTTACTGATTTTAAAAATGGCATTTGGCTTCTGCGCCTTGGGAAGAGCCGCTATGGCACCAGCCACTGCACTAGGAGAGCCATGGTGACTCACTCCTGAGTCCCTAGTCAGTGAACCACTCACATGCCCACTTACTCACTGATATGTACACAGAATTATCCGTAAACTCCCTCACTCACACGGGGACTTTGGATAGTCTGACTGACTCTGCCACCATCTTCCTCCACCCTCTCCCTCATAAAATATTTTCAAGTCTATGTGTTACATCTTTGTAGATTTATCAATACAGTTTATAACTTTATTTCTTAATCACATTTAATATTTATAAAATTAATAGCAGAAAATGTCATACAATGTTTAGCATCACTTTATAATACTCAGCAACTCCAGTTGTTATTTTTATATGAACTAGAATTCACCTGAAAAATAGGTTGTTGTCTTAAAAAATTATCTTCTTCGAAATTAGTTGGCAAACTAATAATCTCACAAGTATCGACTCAGAAGGTAGAAGAATAGCAAAGATTTGGTGATGATCTCAGATCTCACTACTCTTCATGACTCTTTCATTCTTTTTCTCCCTTTCTCCTGACTTTTTCAACCTCTCTTCCTCTTTACCTCTAGGACGAAGCTTCTAGTGGAGGACACTCTTTGAAAAACTACATGGAAGAAGTGAGTTTTCAGGTGACATTATAATATAGTCCGAATACAGTCCACCGTGGAAGTTGAAGCACTTGGGATTTTTCTATCCACCTGTAGTTTTTTTAGTCTATATATGTTCAATGGTCATGTCCACAAAAACAAGATAATAAATAATATGCTATCAAAATAACTTTGTTCCTCATTGGTAGAGGAATACTGTGTATTATTAATGCAGTCACCCTGAACATGAAGGCAAAACTAGCTTTATTCAAGCTAGTGCTATCATATATTTTCATTCACAAACATTCGCTGATAGTCTAAAACATTCGCTGATAGTCTAAAACATGGTTTATATTGGGAGTGCATAAGAAAGATATAATCACCATTGTTCTTATTGCAGGAACAAGCTGTGTTAGATCTTCATTCATTCTTGTGACAAATGTTGATTAAGGATGTTATTTGTACATTCCTTTATGCAAGTGTTGTTCTTACATTTAAAATATGCGTAGATTTATCTCAAAAAACCCTTTAGGTTTCTGGATTCTTCTTCAGAGATATCCCTGGGAGTTCTGTGTCATGGAACTTTGGACTGACTGAAAACTATTGGGAAACTCTCAGATAAACTAGTGGACAGAGTCCATAAAACTTGGTCTCAAGCCAAACCACAGTGGACACTAAATTAGCCATCTGAATCTGTTGCAGGTGAAGGGAATAGGGAAATAGTTTGCTGATGATATCACAGAATTACTCAAATATGTGGTTTGAATATTGCTTTCTTAATAGGACAGTCTCTGTTTCTGCAAATATCATTGCATACATGAAGTCATTCAAAAACAATTATGAATGGCTTCCTGAATGTGATTCGTGGCCTATACGTTTATTTAGAACAGTGTACTCATACTTAAACACTCACCTCCAAATGTGACTTGGAGAGGAAAGTCGGAGTGTATAGCACCCTTTTAAGGCTCTGACATCTCTAACATCTATGGTCTGCAGACTTACTTTGAGAAGTTTACTTTGAGAAGCTTCAGCAAAGTTTACTTTTGAAGGTTTGCTGAAGGCATATAAATAAGGAGTAAGAACAGGAAAGAAAGAAATGTAAATTAGCACAACCACTGTAAAAAACTGTATGAGGATTCTTTAAAAAAAAAAAAACAAAACCCTAACAATAGAACTACCATATGAGCCAGCAATTCTACTACTGGGTATATATCTGAAAAAAAAAAAAAAATGTCATTATATCAAAGAGTTATCAGCACTTCCATATTTATTGCAGCACTATTTACAATAGCCAAAATATAGAATCAACCTCAATATCCTATCAGTGAATGAATGGCTAAAGAAAATGTGGTATATATACACAATAAAATGCTATGCAGCCATAAAAAAGAATGACATCTCGTAATTTCTAGCAACATGGATGTAACTGGAAGTCATTATGTTAAGTGAAACAATCCAAGCACAGAGAGACAAAAATGGCACGTTCTCACTCATGTGTGGAAGTTAAAAAAATGAATCTCATAAAGACAGAGAGTAGACTGGTGGTTATGAGAGGTCAGAAAAGGGGGGGAGATGGATAAAGAAGGTTGATTAATTAGTACAAATGTACAATTTGGTCGAAGAAATAAGACCTACTCTTTGATAGATCAGTAGGGTGACTACAGTTTACAATAATCTATTGTGTATTTCAAAATAGCTAGGAGAGAATAATTCAAATGTTTCTAGTATAAAGAACAATTAAGGTGATAAATATTTCAATTACACTGATTTAATCTTCACAAATTAAGTGAACGTATTAAATTGTCACGTGTACCCTGAAAATAAGGACATCTTTTATGTATCAACAAAAAAGTCAAAACAAAACAAATCTAAAAAAAAATTAGATATTCAGACTTCTGGTTTGAAAAGTAAAAATATGGGGCCAAGAAACTAGAGAGTTGGAACACCAATTCTAAATTTTAATTTAATGAATTTGATGCAGAAATTGAGTAGAATATATTAGCAATTAATATTGTCCAAGGGGAGGAGGCCAACATTTTCAAGGTATACACCAATAGAACATCCCTTTAGGATTTTGTAGTTGCCCAAGATCTGTTCTCAGTGCTCCCCACTTGGCAGTGAGACTGAGGATGGTGGACCACCTCTGCAAAAATGGTGTTTGATGTCTCTTGTAATGTGTCCTGCCTAGGTCTAATCCTGTGCAAGAAGAAAAGCACTGGAATGCTACTGCAAGACACGGACTGTCTACTGATGTTAGAGCTTTTAGAATCTTTTAATTTTGCAGCTTTTATCTAAGAAAAAGAGACTTATTTTTTTCCGTCATTATCAATATGCAATTAAATGTGCATGGTGTATGCAAGTGTAAATGCTCAATGTCACAAGAAGATTGAGAATTTGTGCTCTTTCATTGGAGGTCTTGAGCATTGCTCCTTGGAGTGTGATCCTCTGACTACAGCGTTGGCATCACTGGAGGGCTTGTAAGAAATGCAAAATTTTGGGGTTCACTCCAGATTCCCCAAATCAAAAGCTGCATCCTAACAAACAAGATCTCCTTATGAATTACAAGCATCCTAAGTGCTGAGAAGCACTGCCTTAAAACGTCCTTTCCAATATTATTTCTAGAAAGTAACTTCATGCGTCATGAAAAATCTCCAATTTTATATAAAATAGGTAAAAAAGGAAAACTGTATTAAAAATTTATGATTTGTCTATTCATCTATTCTCAATGATAATTTTTTGCTAGGGGTGTAAAACTAACTTCCAGTTTGAATTTTGCAAAATGTGTGAACTGCCTTTCTTAAGGGTTAAGAATCACATAGCATTTTCATCTGTTTTTGGTTGATATTTAGATTTCAGCTCTTTCTTAAGCCAACAAATTACCACCTTGTGTAGTAAAATTCTATGATTTTAATTAGCAAAGTATTAGCCTATAAATTGTTGGTTTCTTTTTGCAGACATTAATCCATCTGTTTCTTGGGAAATATATATGTACTTAAACTCTTCTCCATTGAGAAAATGTTTAGAATGTGAGTCATAAAATGATAGTCTTGTTTTTTCTCACTTCGGCTTTTATTTCACTTTTGCCCTCTTTCTTCATCTTTGTAGAATTAGCAAACAATAAAGAACATTATTTGCAAATGTTAGAAGCATTGAAGTTAAAACTGAGCTAGTAAACATTTGCTTTTATTTAGTATACACTAAAACTCAAATAAACCATGGTGTTTACATTTTTAATATATTTAACATTTCTCACTAAAGTTTGAACAACTCTTTACAGATCAAAGTCTCTTTTTTCATCTAGTCTTACAATGAGACTGAATCATAACCACATGAAGCTAGACAATTTTGTTTAAGACTAAATCAAAATGAAAGAGACAATGTGTTCTTCTCTAAAAGTAAAGCTAAAACGGAGCTTTCATTCTGTTTTCTACTTTTTAATATGTTATTTTTCCAGACTAGGATTTGTATTTTGACCAAACAAAACATGAAATATTTTATAATAGTTTACTTTTCATAATTCTCAAAATAGCTCTGATAGTTCAATTTAAAAAAAACACACAACTTGCATGCTCTTTACCTAGAAGACCCTGAATAACTCAATATATGAATAATAATTTGACATTGGAGAAATTTTAACTTTTAGAATTATAATATTAAAATGGATTTTTAAAAAATTTTAAAAACTTCTCAAGTTCAAGTTCTTTCACATCTTGATTGTCATACCTGTTGTTGAGAAGCTAATACATTTAAAATATCTTTACCCTGATAAATAATTGGGAAGCAGCATAATAATACTGATTAAAAATCCCCCAATCATAAGTAAAATGTTATAATTTAAATATGCATGCATCAGATAAGTAATGCTAACTTAAATGGTTAAGAAGCTATAAAGAACTCAAGACAGAAGTTAATGATTTCTTTGACATTCCTCACAACTTCAAGAAGTTAGTTGGTGAAGATCAAAGACAACATATGCTGGAGTGTGAACTCACTGGCAGTGTGGCAGCTTCACAATCTCTCAGGGTGTCAGATGGGGAAAAAAAGCACTTGAAGCCGGCAGGTCCTTTGGAATCTGTTGAAGTTGTTTTTGCCAGCTGTGCCGTCTGATCTGAACAGGAGATCAATTCTATGCAACAAAATACCTTACTATCATTTTCATGCCAGTTTTGGCCTGTCTTATTTCTCCTGTGTTGTATTCTGTGATCTCTGGTGTAAAAAAGTCCCAGCTCCTTTTGGAGAGGGTATGGCATTACTTCTAATAAGAAATAAGAGAGAATTTACTTTTTTATTATCCACAGGGGTTTACTCCTTTAAAAATTGAAATAATTATTATCTATCTTGGCTTTATTCTACTTAGGAACTAGAAAATGAGGATTTTTTTTTTTTTTTGGTCAAGAAAATCATGTTTTGTCACTGACACTCATTTAAGAACAGATCTGGCCAGGCATTCTGGCTCAGCCTGTAATCCCAGCAATTTGGGAGACCGAGGCGAGAGGATTGCCTGAGCCGGGGGTTCAAGATCAGCCTGGGCAATTTGGTAAGACCTAGTCTCTGCAGTAAATCACAAAAACTAGCTGGGCATGTTGGCATGCATCTGTAGCTCCAGTTAATTGGAAGGCTGAAGTGGAAGGATTGCCTAAGCCCAGCAGGTCAAGGCTGCAGTGGCCATGAGTGTGCTGCACTCCAGCTTGGGTGAGAAGAGTGAGACTCCAACTCAAAAAAATGACAAAAAAGGAATAGATCCATGTATTAAATTATATATTTTAAAGTTATAATCATGGCTCTCATACAAATATAAAATGAAATATGTCAAAGATGTATTAAGCTGATAAGTTAATGAAGGGATAAGTAAGATGTTACAATCAGTTTAAAGGAGAATTCAGACCTTCACATACATAGTCAATTAAGGAATGCTGAAATGCCATCATAAATAGATGCAAAAACTGACAAATCTTACCGGCATCCATAAGATAATGATCTGCTGCATCCAAATGGATTTAATTTGCACTTATGTGGACAAAAATCATTTA